TTTTTTACAGAGAGGAAGGGAGAGGGATAGAGAGTTAGAAACATCGATGAGAGAGAAACATCGATCAGCTGCCTCCTGCACACCCCCTACTGGGGATGTGCCCACAACCAAGGTACATGCCCTTGACCGGAATCGAACCTGGGACCCTTCAGTCCGCAGGCTGACGCTCTATCCACTGAGCCAAACCGGTTAGGGCATTTTTTAAAATATATATTTTATTGATTTTTTACAGAGAGGAAGGGAGAGGGATAGAGAGCTAGAAACATTGATGAGAGAGAAACATCGACCAGCTGCCTCCTGCACACTCCCCACTGGGGATGTGCCCGCAATCAAGGTACATGCCCTTGACCAGAATCGAACCTGGGACCTTTCAGTCCGCAGACCGATGCTCTATCCACTGAGCCAAACTGGTTAGGGCAATATGTCTTTATTTTATTTGAATTTATTCTGGTTAGGATTCAGTATAGTTCCTGGATTGGAGAATTCATGTATTTTCTTTAATTCTGGACAATTTCCTATCATTATTATTTCAAATGTTATTTTACTTCATTTTCTATAGTCTTTCTTTCTGGAATGCTAATTGGAGGCGTGTTCAACTGCATTTTTATTCTCCTTGCTTTTTATAATCATTTACAAATAATATATCTCTGAATAATGTCCTCAGATCTATCTTTCAGGTTGTTAATTTTTCCTGTAGCTGTATCTAATTTGCTGTTAATCTCAGTCATTGAGTTTTTAATTTTAGTGACTAAAATATTTATTTCTAAATGTTTTATTTTGTCCTTTTTCCAGTCTACTTTGCATTTTTTGATAGTGTCTAATTCTTTCTTATATTTCCAATTCTTTAAGTCAATAAGTATTTTAAACACAATTAATAGAATAATATTTAATCTGATATTTTAATTATCTGTAGTTCTTGGGGATCTAATTTTGATCCTGGTTGATTATTTCTTCTTATATGTTGTAGTTATGGATTTTGAGACCCTCGTTAGCAAAGCATTACCTTTGGTAATTCTCCCCAGTCTGGGTTAAAATTGTCTTTTCAGAGATTTTTCAGCTTGAGACCACTGTTTATTTTGTGAATTGGCTGGGAGTTCCTGAGTGATATAAAATTTAAATCTCAAATCCACTTACCGGTAGGCCTTTTGTTACAAATTCTTAGGCATGACCTTTGTTTTTTATACCTAGAGCTCAGGCCAAGAAAATCTTCCCTGTCATATTTTGTTGGGATTCTATCTTTTCTGTGAAGATTGAGGTATAGTTCCCAGTTCCAACCTCCCTGTATCTCTCAGGTCTAAGGTCTCATCTCTGAGTAACCATTAAAACCCAGTGGCCTTATTACTAAGATTAGCTTCATGCCCTGCCTCCTAGAGCTACTATAGTAATAGCTCATCTGCTTATTTCTATAGTTTAGCATTTTTTCATTTTGGGCTTCTGGGGTTTACTTTCTTCTGAAGTTAGCCATGTATTTAAAAGTGTACTGTTGCCCAGCTTGTGTGACTCAGTGGTTGAGCATTAACCTATGGACCAGGAGGTCACAGTTCAATTCCCAGTTGGGGCACATGCCCTGGTTTTGGTCCCTAGTAGGGGGGGACGTGAAAGAGGAGGCAGCTGATCATTGATTCTTTATAATCATTGATGTTTCTCTCTCTCTCTCCCTCTCCCTTCCTTTCTGAAATTAATAATAAAAAAATATTTTTAAAAGTAAAAAATAAATAATAAAATGGCTGTTGTTAAAATATAAATAAAAAAGTATTTGTTATATTTGTCATTTCTAAGTTCCATCTCTTTTAAGAACTTTGTTTTGGAAGGTATAGAAAAAGAGTTCAAGGTTCATGATAGCATCAAGACAAGAATTTCAGGTGGAGAATAAGCTAGTTTTTTTTCAGATCAGGTGACCCTCTTGGACACACTTTGAGGAAAATGATTTTAACAGCCACAGAGAGAAAGCCAACTTTAATTATGCTAAAAGGCCTGGGATGTGAGGGCAGAGATCAAGACCCAGCTGATCTGTTGACTTGTTATATAACCTTGGGCAAGTCTTTAGGCATTTCTGGGCCTCAGTGTCCTCATCTGAAAGTTGAGCGGATTGGGTTAGGTTTCCCCTGGGGTTCCTATTTTAATTTCAATGGTTTAACCTTTTTCTGACTTCAGGCCTGGGCCAGCAGTCTAAGTTCCTTGGAACCTCCACTCTCTCCTAGGGTATGTCCCCCAGTAACCACCCCCCCACCCCCCCACACACACATTGTGCTCCTCCCTTTCCTTCACTGGATGGTGACCATACTGACCCTCATACCCACCTCTCTGTGAAGAAATGTTCGGCTAACACAGCGGTTCTCAACCTGTGGGTCGAACGACCCTTTCACAGGGGTCGCCTAAGACCATCGGAAAACACATATATAATTACATATTGTTTTGTGATTAATCACTATGCTTTAATTATGTTCAATTTGTAACAATGAAAACACATCCTGCATATCAGATATTTACATTACGATTCATAACTAGCAAAATTACAGTTATGAAGTAGCAACGAAAATAATTTTATGGTTGGAGGTCACCACAACATGAGGAACTGTATTAAAGGGTCGTGGCATTAGGAAGGTTGAGAACCACTGGGCTAACATGTCTGGGTTGGGGGTGAGAGACTTCAAGCATGAGGGATGCTCTGGGAAGGTCTTTTCTGTGAGGATCCTGGATGGAAGTGGGTTGGAACTCGGGTCTTCAGACTCCTACCCCTGGGTTCAGGCTGCTGGGCTACACTGGTCCTCATGGCTAACAGGGGAGGGAGGAAGGGGTGATCTGTGTGATGGGGAGAGACCCTCCTTTGCAGATGTGCTCAGTGGCCGGGGGCTCAGGGAGGGCCATGGGAGGTAAATGGTACCCACCTGGTACTCATAATCTAAAAACTGCCTTAAGATTACTAGTATGTCCTGCTCCTTCCCAAATCCCTGAGAACTGTGTCCAGAAATTTATAGCTTGGACAGTTGGTGCCGAGGTCACTGAATTTGTCTTATGCTGATGGCAAGGGCAGGGATGTGTTGTCAGCTTCTGGAGACACCAGCAAGTTAACTTGCCAGAGCCCCAACATGTGAGAATCCACCAGGGCCAAAAGCTTTCTTTAAAAACAGCCAGGCTTGGCTGGTGTGGGTAAGTGGTTAGAGTGTTAACTCATGCACTGAAGGGTTGAGGGTTTGATTCCCAGGCAAAGGCATGTACCTGGGTTGCAGGTTCGATCCTCCGGCCCTGTCGGGGCACGTGCAGGAGGCAACCAGTTAATGTGTCTTTCTCATATCAGTGTTTCTCTATCCTCCTCTCTCCCTCCCTCCCTTCCGTTTTCTCTATAAATCAATGGAAAAAAAAATATCCTCTGGTGGGGATTAACTGAAAATAAAAAATAAAAACAGACAAAGCTGGATGTCATAGAGAATGGTGAGCTGCATTTTACTTTACATACTTTTTAAATTAAATTTAAAGTTTAATTGTGGTAAAACACATAACGTTTATCATATTAACCATTTTTAAGTCTATAGCTCAGTGGTGTTAAATGTATATTCACATTGTTGTGCAACAGATCTCCAGAACATTTTTTCTCGTAAAACTGAAACTCTATACTCATGAACACCAACTCTCCTTTCCTCCTCTCCCCAGCCCCTGGCAACCACAATGCTACTTTCCGTCTCTATGGATTTGACTACTCTAGATACTCCATATAAGTGGACGAGTATTTGTCTTTTTGTGGCTGACTTATTTCACTTAGCATGATGGCCTCAAGGCTCATTCTGCATGTGACAGAATTTTCTTCTTTTTTAAGGCTGAATAAAATTCCATTGTATGTCTGTATCACATTTTGTTCATCCATTATCCATCTGTGGATACTTGGGTTGCTTCCACCTCTTGGGTATTGTGAATAATGCTGCTATAAACATGAGTGTACAAATATCTCTTCAGGACCCTGCTTTCAGTTCTTTCAGATATATATATACCTAGAAGAGGGATTGCTGGATCACATGATAGTTCTATTTTTAATTTTTTGAGGACCCTCCATATTGTCTCCCACAGGCTGTACCATTTGATATTCCTGTCAGCAGCACACAGCGTTTGTTTTGTTTTTAAATATATTTTTATTGATTTCAGAGAGAAAGAAGAGGGAGAGAGAGAGATAGAAACATCAGTGATGAGAGAGAATCATTGATTGGTTGCCTCCTGCACCCACTTCCCTTCCCCGCACCGGGAATCAAGCCCGCAACCCAGGCATGTACCCTCACCGGGAATCAAACTGTAACCTCCTGGTTCATAGGTCAACATTCAACCACTGAGCCACACCGGCAGGGCAACACACAGTGTTTTTCATCCTTTTTGTCCATTATTGATTTAATGCCAGGCCATCCTTGTCTCCTACTTCCCAGCCCTGTCTGGGTTCTTGGAGCTGCGATTAGAGAGTGCCCAGGTCATTGTGCTCATGTGACAGGTAGGAAGCTGAGGTCTACAGAGGGGAGGTGACCTGCCTGATCCTAGGCCTCTGATCGTCCTAGACCTTGCATTTTACTCTTTGTCTCCTAGAATCCCTGGCCTTTTCCCTCCAAGTTCCTGTGTGGTGAGTGGCCTGTCAAGGAAGAGCAGCTGGTCGTGGGCCTGGCACTCCCTGGGTACCCCCGTCCCATGGTCCACCTAGTTCTTCCACCAATGCTGTGGTTTCTGCCCAAACAGGTCCAACAGGCGCTCCTCCAAGCGGAGCCTTGGAGGGCAAGGCCGGCACCATTACCTCCAACGAGTGGAGCTCTCCTAACTCCCCTGAGGGGAGCAACGTCTCTGGGGGCAGTCAGGCATTGGACAAGCCCATCGACAATGATGCGGAGGGTGTTTGGAGCCCGGACATTGAGCAGAGCTTCCAGGAGGCCCTGGCCATCTACCCACCCTGTGGCCGGCGGAAGATCATTCTGTCGGATGAGGGCAAGATGTACGGTAAGGACCCTGTGGGGTGGGGCAGCAGGCCCCTGGCCTCATGGTCCAGCTCTGGAAGTAGAATCTAGGCAAGGGGTGAGGCGCAGCAACCTTGGGGTCCCCTCCAATGAGGGAGGGGGATGATCTCTTGGGGCTTCTAACAGGTGGACACTGCTTTCTTCTGAGCTGGGTTCTCAAGGGATGGGAGGGCATCTGAGAAGCCTTTGAGTGTGTGAGGAGCTGGGGTAGTGGGAGACTTGGGAAAGGAGTAAAATACTGGAAACATCCCACAAGACATCCCTCGGGCAAATGCCTGATCTCCCAGCTCCCCACCTTGGCTGTGAAGGGTGGTCACGGAGGTGGTTCCTGGACTCATTCCCTCCTTCATGAGCCTTCTGTGTTCCAGGTGTAGTGGGCAGATCTAGTCCCTGCTCACAATATGGTGGGTGAGGCGTGGCCACACATGTAGCTGACAACCAGGCAGGCGGAGTGGGTCAGGAGGGAATCCAGCAGAGCGCTGCAGACCTTCCTCAGGAAAGGTCCCTTCCGCTGGGAGGCATCTAGGAAGGCTCGGTCTTCCTGAACGCCTGAGGATGCGGAATGTACAGATATAGAAACTCTGTCCAGCAGCCACGTGGGATTGATTTTGGATGGAAGAAAGGGTATTTGGGAAAGTCAAACAACAACTGAGCAGCTGTTGGAAGGCCCAAGTCAGGCTTTCATTCCCATTGGAAAGCCCCCCGGGCCCTCAGCTTGAAGCACTGGAGCTGAGAGGGTCTCCGGAACTGGCCAAAGCCCCTGAGAACAGAGGGCTCCACCCTGGCTTCCAACAAGCTGGCTCTAGTCCAGGAGCCCACCCTGGGGGTTTCCACCCAGGTTCTCCCTTCTCAGCACAGATCCCCTGTGGGGCTGCTGTGTTTGTCTCCTAGGGGTGCTGTAAGAAATTACCACAAATGAGTGGCTTAAAACAACAGTTCAGGAGGCCAGACGTGTGAAATCCAGGTGTCCTTGGGCGGGTTCCTTGTGAGGGTCTGAGGGAGAATGTGCTCCATGCCTCTCCTGGCTTCTGGTGCTTGCTGGCAATCCTTGCTGTTCCGTGGCTGTTGGCTGCATCTCTCCCACCTCTGACTCGGTTGTCACATGGCCGTGCTCCTTCTGTGTCTGTCTCTGTATCTTCTCATATTCTTATAAGGGCACCAGTCCTTGGACCGGGGCCCACCCTAATCCAGTGTGACTTCATCTTAACTAATTACATCTGTGAAGACCCTATTTCCTAATAAGGTCACATTCTGAGGTTCTCAGTGGACAAGAATTTTGGGGGGACACTATTCAACTTAATTCAACTGACTAAACTCAAATCTGGTTGTTTACTGGCCCAGGGAGTCATGGAGCTCTCACAGCCCCTTCTACTCTATGCTTTAACCTTCCCTACAAGGCCAAATTGAGGTCTTCTCTTTCTTTTGCTTATTGGGAAGCAAGCTCCTTTTGAGCTAGACTCTAGGTCTGCTCCGCAGTCACCAGTAAACTGCTCATGCCTTCTTTTTAATATATTTTTATTTATTTCAGAGAATAATGGAGAGGGAGGGAGAGAGAGATAGAAACATCAATGATGAGAGATAATCATTGATTGGCTGCCTCCTGCATGACCCCACCAGGGACAGAACCCACAACCTGGGCATGTGCCCTTGACCAGAATTGAACCCGGGACCCTTCAGTCCGCAGGCCGATGCTATATCCACTGAGCCAATCGGCTAGGGCTACTCATCTCTTCTTACCAGTCCATCATCATGGCTATGCTTGGTTCCCACAGTCTCTCTTACTTTTGTGGGCACCCATGCCCTGGGTCAGCCCCCTGTACCACTCCTACTCTAACCATTTCCTTTTTTGATTATTGCTTCTTACTTTTGGCCCCTGTGGAAGCTTCATGGAGGTGAGAGCTGATATGTAGGGAGCACCTGTTGGGTGCCAGTTGTCGGATTGGGTGCTTTCCATAGGTCACTCCCATGGAGCTGGTGAGAAACAGAGGCTCTGGGACCCTAGGCTCTTTCCACTCCTTTGGTGGAGAGTGGGATGGTATTGATCATGAGCTGAGGTGAGAAGGGGTAAGGGTGGGCAGCGGG